CCAATGTGTTTTCCTTCTTCAACAATACCACAAGCAGCTTTTTCAATAAGCATCGGAATCATGTTTGGCTTTTTTGAAGGTAAATCATCTGGTTGAAGTTTCAGGTCTCTTCTGACTTCGATGACGAAGGGACTTGTCCAACCGTATTGACCACCAAACGAACGTTCAGTACTAACAGGAAGGTCCATAAAACGTGTTTCTCGTAGATGTTTGTCTTGTCGCTCGCGCACGACTCGTTTTATTAGTCTTTGCCTATAATCATCAGTGTTCGATATTTGCAGATTACTTTCGAAATCAATATAATAACCATCCAATAAAGCTCGTTGTTGTTTGCTTTGAAATGCTTCTTCGATGATTAAGTTTTCTAAATCCGAATAATGATTCCATATGGTTGGCTCGGATGATGAAAATGGATTTGGATTTGCTTTCCACATCCATTCAACATGTTTTAAAGAATTATTTGGTGTTGCAGATGCATAGGAGGCCATAATAAATAATGCTTTTCTCTTGTTTACAATATGGTAGATCGCTTTATTAACTAACTATTATTTTTATCTGAAAGCGTGAAAACAAACAATGATAATTAAAAAATAATAGGATAAGAAAACCTCACTCTTGAAGTCTTGTTAAATATTGAATTTTTGTAAAACTCTGTCAAGTCAGAGAAAATATTCTGAAATCATCGGAAGGTTCTTTATGTTTCCAAGAAAAAAATGACGAAAATCTACATATTTAGAATTCTTAAAATCTGTTGTTCTCTTCTTCGAATTGAGTATATTCTACTTATTATCCTTCTTCATCATTTTTTTTCCAAAATTTTAAATTTTACACTATATTTAAATAAGTAAATCAAATAAGACTTTTCTCATATATTTTTGGAAAAGTATGAAATTCGAGCAATATTTGGAATAATCATTATTATTTAAATCTATTCTTGATTTTTTTTTGTCGAAGAATCTTTTCAGATCATTAATGTTATTCAATAGAATAACACAATATTAATAAATAGATGTTGATTACACAACGCAAAACAATATACAGATAAGTTTTTTTTATCAATTATCAAGGAAAGACTATTT